CTCCCGTTTCGGTGTTGTTACCTTGAATCGCCAGCAGGTGGTGCTATCTCATCTGCTCGCCCCAGAGGGGGTGGGGCCGGACAGGAACAAGATAGCTGCCTGCCTCCGAGCAGGCAACAGGATCCCCGCGCCGGGTGGGCAGGACAGTCTCCGTCGCAGGAGCGGTGGCAGCGATCCCAGCAGATCTTCCCTGAAGCGGTTTGATGTGGATCTCCTCCGGCCGGGTTGTGATGAGCTACCCGTGCCAGAGGCCGCGGCGGGCGCGGCGGCGGCGACGGCGGCGGCGGCGGCGGCGGCGGGAGCGCTGGTGGGGGGAGGGGCTGCGGCAGCAGCGGGAGAGGACGATGCAGTAAAAATGTCCAGTCCTTGCGATGTTCCAGTGATAGCGATGGCCGAGCTCTGTTTGAGGAGTAGGCTGCAATGCTGGGGTCCCCAGCCTCCCGGGGGCGAGAGTCAGAGACCCACTGCAGATCTCCCTTGCAGAGGGCTTCAGACACCGGGTTGCCAGGTCGCCATCTTGCCCCGCCCCCGCTAATTTTTGATTTATTGTAGAGACGAGGTCTCGCCAAGTTGCCAAGGCTGGTCTCGAACCCGTGGGCTCAGGCAATCCACTCGCCTCGGCCTCCCAAAGTGCTGGGATTACAGGTTGAGCCACTGAGCCCATCCAAGTTAAATTTTAATAGTATACTGTCATTTATCTGGTACAATGGTATACTGCCATTCTTATAAAAAGTGACTATCAGAAATAAGCAAGCATTGTAAGAGGTGATGAATTACGTGGAACCGGTGTGAAGCCTTATATATTAAGTGTGATGAATTATGTGAAATGTAATGAAACTATAACCTCATATATTAAGTATGCTGAAACTGTGTGCTGTGACCTCTCCCCTAAAACTTAGTAATTCTTGGAAACCCTGGAAAGAACGCCCTACTTTGAAGCCCATGGCTATGTTAGATAAGTTAACCAGCTTTTTCTGCTTCTGTAACCCCTGCTGGCAGTGTGTGAGTGTTGCTCGATAAGCTCCTTTCAAATTCTGGCAGGCTTTTCTGTTTTAATTGTGGTGGGCAAGCCCTTCTTCTGGTGGGCTTTGTGTTGTTTGAATTGGAATTATAATGGCCTTGTGGATTAGGCAGGCTTTTGATTATTTCAGAAAGGCCCCTGCAGCAGTGTGGGGCCCTCACCTGAGACCTGTGAGTCTGGTGGGTGGCCTTGGCCAGTCAAACCTGGCTAATAAACCTCTCTCTTGGTAAATTGTGTGTCGGTGCCGTGAATCAAACACTTGGACCCCACATCAGCATCTGCTGTATCTGCTTAAAAAAAAAAAGGCTTTTGAGGACCTTCGCCACTGCATCACGGAGGGTCACTATACAAATTTCTTTAAAATCCAGTGTTAGTGTAATATTCATTAGCACTGAGGAACTCAGGCTTTCTCCCTTCTAATAAGGAAAAGTATTTAACTGACTGCATCTTCCTAGGCACCTAGGTTGCCACTATACTTGGTCAAAGCTGAAGGTTAATGCAGCAATTACATCAACCTTGAAAGTTGCCACAATTGAGTCCTTTTTCTTGGTTTTAATTTCTCACTTTTATCTATATTTTATCACTATGTACTTCATTGTATGCTGTTCTTGTAAGCAGCCTTAAAATCCCTTGTGGGGAATGTGGGAGTGTATGACAAGGACAGATAAATCAAGGAAAACTCTCATTTAAAAATATTTTAGAATATTAAAGACCTAATAAACCATACAAATTCCATCTTTGATGCTTTTATTCTTGTTTTCAATAAAGGAAATATAAAATACTAGGACTTAAAAATGAATTCTACTTGCTCTTAATTTATAATTGATAAAACTGGCTGACCTATGGTTATCACTGGATCACATCCTTTGAAAGAACCCAAGGACAATCCGTCCACCAGAGGGCCATCTTATCCAAACACCAGAGTAACAACATGTACCAGAATAAGGTTGACACCTTCAAATTATAGTATTATCGGAATCCTCAAAATTTGCAGATTTAGCTATTTTTCTCCCAACACATAACGAAGTTGCTTTGCTTTTTCTCGGTGTGTGGCCAATATAAAAGAAAGTAAAATGAAAGATTCACTTGAAGTTAAATTGTGATAATAATAGAAGAGAAAAGCCTAGAAAAGAACTCAGTGCTCTGTGTTCTTATTTACTACATTCAAAAATAGTTCAAAATTTAATTTCATTACCATCTGTCAATGCTTCTGGAGAAGAGCTAGATGATGCTTGAGATGCTTTTAGAAATGGGTGATCCATGGCCGTAATGGGAGACTCTAAAAATTCAACTGAAGGTGCACCTGGGAACAAAATATATGGAGAATAAAAACTAAACTTTGATAAGGGTACAGAAGTGTTATTACTTCTAATGTGAAATAAAATGGAATCTCAGCAGAATCATTAGAAAATCCTTTCCATAAAAAATTTTTAAAGATTTGTACTGAGATTTGTATCAACAATATAAAGTAAAGGCGATTGGGTCAAAGTATTTTTGCATTTCTCAACACATTTCTGAGAACTTTCTCACAGAAAAAATATATTATGCACTAATATAATTGTATGTTAGCACAGAAGTATAAAACTCAAATATAGTTACAAAACACTATCAAAAGCAGACATTCACAATAAAGAATCTCTCCTGCTGAAGAGGGAAGAATAGCTGTACTTTTACTCTATTCCTCACTAGGAAACTAAAAACAAAGTAGAAAAATAAAGAAGAAAGCTCCTTCTTCAGTGAATGAGAAAACATCAACTACCCAAAGCCACAAGTTACAAAGAACAACTGCTAAATACTTCCTTGGAACAGAAGGAAAGAAGTTGCCGAGAAAATGCACAACTGCTCTGTGTTCTTCACAGACCACCACCTCACCCATACCCCATCCCTACCCCACAGGGCGAGGGGAGGCAGTAAGTGTTTAGTCCTATCTTAAAATGTAAAGAGTGTGTGACATTTGCTCAGTCTCCCCCATCCTCCACCTGCCCCTGGCTACTTTCTCATGTGACATGTGGGCACAAAAGAGAAAGGGTGTGGGTCCTCATGCTGTCCTCCGGTGGCTGCACTTACTACTGATCTTAAATGCCCAAAGCTGGTGAAACTTACAATTTGGGCTTTCAGCTTGATAGGGCCTGTAGCCTCAAGCTTGCTCTCATTAGAAGTATAGACCCCTTCAATGCCCATCACCTCTTCTATCGAATGTCCCAGAACTGGCCCACCTCCAGCTCTGCTTTGATGTCACCTTGCCCCCTGCTACAACAGATGTATGGCAGACCCACTGCCTGACAGCTCAGTTGCCTTCCCAGCACCCCCAAGAGCAGGATATTATGGACTTCTTCCACATCAAAAAGGAATCAACTTCCAGCAAGAGATCACCTCTGTCCAGGTCTAATACAGCATAAGTTCCTCTGCCCTTGGGCTCCTCCACACATGAAATCAGGACAAAAACATCTTACTTTTCTTTCCTTACTCTCACCTTTCTTTACCCCACCTTCCTTCAGGGGCCAAAGGGGGAAGTTTTCTTTCTTTATACTTTTATGTGTTGCATAAGATGTGATCATCGGTTGACCACGACGTATACGATGGTGGACCCATAAGATTATAACAGAACTGGCCTATAAAAGTGTACCTTTTAAAATTTTATATTGTATTTTTACCTTTTCTATGTTTAGATACACAAATACTTATTGCTGTGTCACAACTGCCTTCAGGATTCAATATAGTACCATGCTGTATAGGTCTGCAGTCTGAGAGCAACAGGCTATGGCATGCAGCCTAGGTGTGTAGTAGGCTGTACCATCTAGGTTAATGTAAGTATTCTCTTATGTTAGCACAATGATGAAATCTCCTGACAACACACTTCTCAGAATGTATTCCCATTGTTAAACAATGCATGACTGTACAATGAAGACACAAGTGATAAAACACTAAAAGTTAGTACAAGGTAAAGATGCCAATGAGTACCACTATTATTTAGCATTGTTCTAAAAGTACAAGACATTTTGATTAGTCAAGAGTATAAAGAGTTACAAATATTGAAAAGGAAGAGGCAAAAGATCATAACTTGCACAAAAAACCCTAACCAATTAGTTAAAAACCCTTGATTAAATAATAAGACATAACAAAAACAGCAGAAAACATTTTTTATAAACAAATAATAATTAGATAGAAAATATATTTCATGTGATACCCATGAAAATAACGATTAAATACCTAGAAAGAACGATTAAATACCTAGAAATAACTTAGGCATTGCACAGAACTTCTGGGAAGACAACTTCTGAATTCCACTCAGCTGCACAGAAGAAGACAAATAAATGAAGACACAATATTTTTTTTTGTTTTTGGGGGTTTTTTTTTTGAGATGGATCTCACTCTGTTGCTCAGACTGGAGTGCAGTGGCCACTCCCGGCCACCGCAGCCTCAACCTGCTGGGCTCCAGCGATCCTTCCACCTCAGCCTTCCAAGTAGCTGGAACTACAGGCGCACACTACCACGCCCGGCTAATTTTTTTGATTTATTGTAGAGAGGAGGTCTCGCCAAGTTGCCCAGGCGGGGCTCAAACCCGAGGGCTCAGGCAATTCACTCACCTTGGCCTCCCAAGGTGCAGGATTACAGGCTGAGCCACCGAGCCCGGCCAAGACACAGTATTTTAAATGATCAATTCTAAGCCAGGCATGGTGGCTCAGTCCTATAATCCCTGCTACCTGTGAGGCTGAGGCAGGTTCTTTGAGGGCAGGAGTTCTGTAAGCTATGATTGCTGTAAGCTATGATTGCTGTAAGCTATGATTGCTGTAAGCTATGATTGCTTCACTACACTTCAGCCTTGTCAATAGATCAAAAGCCCATCTCTTTAAAAAAAAAAAAAAGTCTTTCTACATTAATCCACATATTCAATGTGATCTCAGTTAAAATAATAGAGAGTTTTCAGAACTTCACAAAATGATGCCAATGTTCTGAAAAAACTAAAAGGTAAGAATTAAGAAGTCAGGAAAATTCTGAATAAAATAAAGTCATAAATTATAAAGCTGCAGTAATGAAGACAGGTTGGTACAGAACTACCAATCTGTACAATGGTAGCTGCACAGAAAGAGACAACAACGAGGCAGACTAAGGAGTCAGAGCAATCTTTGGGTTGAGCCCAATCCTAATACAGACTAGCTGAATAACACAAAGCAAGTTATTTTACTTCTTTTGGCTGAATTTCCTCATCAGCAAAATAAGACTAATAATCTAACTCACAAAGTTACTGTGAGGATTAAATGAGGAAATATATGTGAAGTGGTTGAGGCAACTCCTGGCAGAACAAAGCTGCAATCATCAGCATCATTATTTTTTGCCACTGGGAATTGCATTTTCTGCAGCTGTTGCATGAACCTGATATAACCATGCACCCATGAAAACTCCAAAAGAGTGTATTTACGGAGTAGAGCAAGCTAGTAATAAAATCACTTAGAAAAGAAAAACATCAAGAAATCTTTAAAAATGAACACAAACAGGAGGAATTTACCGTAACAATATCAAAACACACCATGAAGCTATAATAGTTTTTAAAAAAGTTATATTGGCAGAAGATAGAAAAATAGGCCAATGACACAAATAGAGAGTGTGATAGAATATGATAATGTTTCAAATTATTTGGAAAAGAATGATGTTTGAATAACTGGCCATCAATTTAGACAAAAACTGAAGTTAGGACATTTAACAAAAAATAAATTATAAATATATGAAAAAGCTAAACAAAAAAGTATTTAAATAAAATACAGAAGAACCTGCTTTAAAAAAATGAAACGGGCTGGGCTTGGTGGCTCAGCCTGTAATCCCAGCACTTTGGGAGGCCGAGGCAAGTGGATTGCTTGAGCCTGTGGGTTCAAGACCAGTCCAGGAGACTTGGTGAGACCTCGTCTCTAGAGTAAAAATAAAAATAAATTAGCTGGGCATGGTAGCACACACCTGTAGTTCCGACTACTTGGAAGGCTGAGGTGGCAGGATCACCAGCGCCCAGCCCATCAACACTGGGGTGGCCATGAGTGTGCCACTGCACTCCAGCCTGGGCGACAGGGTGAGACTCCAACTAAAAAAATAAAAATTAAAAAATTGAAATAGAAAAAGCCTGTCTCCAAAAATTTTAAATTGCAAAAAAAAAATATAAGATTAAAATACGAGTTACAGATGGGGAGAAAATATCTGCAAAATAAATAACAAAGAATTGTTATACAGAATATATAAAAAGATTTCCTATAATTCAAGGAGAAAAGATAAAAACAGGAAAATGAGCAAAGCACATGAACAGGTAATTCAAAGAAAGTGAAATGGCCAATAAATACCAGACAATTGTAATTTCACTAATGATTAGGGAAATAAAATTGAAACACAATAACGATTTCACACACCAGGCTAGCAAAAAAAAAAATCAAGCTTAATTACATCAATGATTAGCCTAAGAGTGAGGAACTAGGTAAGCCAAAACATCACTAGAGGAAGAAAAAACAAGTATAACATTTTTGAAGGACAATTTGGCAGAATGTATTAAAATTTCACGTTAACACACTTCAACACAATAGTTTTACTTCTCTATATCTAGAGTCAAATTCATGCAAGGATTCAAGGAAGCAATTTCAAGCATTTCTTGGCAAGATTCTTTATAATGGCAAAAAAGATAGAAATCTAAATGCCACAAACAAGGAAATGGTTACATAAATTGCTATATCTGTAGTGTGAAATGCTGTGCAGCAGTTAAAAAGAATAAAATCAATTTGTGTATCTTAACATTAGAGGCCTTCAAAACTTTTCTAAGTTAAAAAAAAAAAAAAAAGCAAATCCAGGCATGGTGGTGTTCACCTATAGCTCTAGCTACTCAGTAGGCTGAGGTGGGAGGCTTGCTTGAGCCCAGGAGTTTAAATTCAGCCTGGGCAACACAGCAAGACCCTCATCTCTAAAAGAATAGATCAATAAATTTTAAAAACATTAAAAACTAAACTGTAATAGTGTATGTGAATGAGAGAAATAAACTGATGAAAGCAAATAACCCTCCAAGACAGAATCAGATAAAAAGAAGTGTCCAAGGGGACTTTTGACTTTATTTCTATTGTTTCAATCTTCTACATGAAAATGTGCTTCTGCATTTATGCAATTTTTTAATGAAAAAATATAAACACATGCTTCTTGCAAAAAAAGAGAAAAAATTCCTCACATACAGAAGTGTTTAAGTAGATAGGAAATATAGGCTGCTCTCCAATCCCACTCAACTCTCAGAAGAATACAGCTACCGCTCATAGTTTGGGATATATCTTATTAACCCTTTTCCTGTATTAGCTAAAACATATATATATGCAAGAAGAGATATGTGTGTGCACACATGTACAGACATGCTTTACTATAGATGTAATTACATGCATGTTCATATAAACACAAGAACAAATGACATGGCTATAATACCAAAAATCATGTACAATAGGGTAACAGGTCAACTGTATTATATCAAATACAAGCAAAACTGTTCAGTTATCACAAATAATGGGGATGTGGACTGGAATTTGAGTACAAATATTGGGTAGGAGTGCTCTTTATCCTGTGTTTTCTAAGTTTTCTATAATGATGATATATTGTATAGTGGCACTAGAAACTTTCTTTAAAAAAAAAAAAGCCAAATGAATGTTTTCTGAAAAAAACATGACTAAAAAGCACTTAACAAATATAAGGTCTTGCTACTGTTAGCACACATAAGAACAGTAGGACAAGCTCACAAGCTCATAGACCATCACTTACCAATTCCACTGTCATCTAACCGCATGTAGCCTTCTGCCAATGAGCTGAAACCAGTTAATCCTCCCATTGCTGCATATGGAACATCCTGTCCCACTGGCTTCCCTTGTGCCCGTCTTTCTTGCTTAGTTTCCACTACTGTGTCATGAGCAAATGCAGGCTGACCACAAGCACAAGTGAAGCAGCTATGGAATCCTGAACACTTGGAACCTGAAACAAGATGTAAAGGGAGTCAAATTTTTTTACACATTGGTAGTAAGCCATCTATCTAAAATCACCCAGCTTGGCCAAAGTCAGCTGAATTGAGATCCTGGCCCCTGGAACTCTTGCCTCTAGCCCCTGAATGCCCTCCCAGCCACTGCTCTTACACTTCTGAAATATGCTAAAGTGATAAGAGGGTACAGTACAGGAATAAAAAATGGACGAGCCTAGGCAACATAGCAAGCCCTATGTATTATTTATGTATTATTATTTCTTTCTTTTTTAATAAGAAATTTAGCCAGGCTCAGTGGCTCAGTCTGTAATCCCATGCCTTGGGAGGCTGAGGTGAGTGGATTGCCTGAGCCCACGGGTTCGAGACCCGCCTGGGCAACTCGGTAAGACCCCATCTCTACAATAAAAAAAATCAGCCGGGTGTGGTAGCATGCGCCTGTAGTTCCCGCTACTTGGAAGGCTGAGGCGGAAGGATCGCCGGAGACCAGCAGGTTGAGGCTGCAGTGGTCGGGAGCAGCCACTGCACTCCAGTCTGGGTGACAGAGTGAGACTCCAACTCAAAAAAAAAAAAAGAAATAAATTTTAAAATGGCCATTGCTTTGTTAAGCTCTGGCCAGGCCTCGTGGCTCTTTGAGCTATGGCCACCATGTTTCCCTAAGCTGCCCTCCCATCCCTCTCCCTCTTCCTTTCACATTTACTTTCTAAATAAACTACATTTTCCTATAAAAAAAAATTAGCTGGGAATGGCAGTGCACATCTGTAGACCCAGCTACTCACTCAGGAGGCTGAGACAAAAGAAATCGCCTGAGCCTAGAAGATCAAGGCTGCAGTGAGCCATGATCGTACCACCGCCCTCCAGCCTATGTGACAGAGACCTCGATTCATTTAAAAAAGGAAAACCAACTAAGATGAAAATAAATTGTGTTAAACACTGGAGGTACAGGGAATGAAGGCTCCCTCCTCAAAAAGCAGGTGCAGCAAGGACAGCCCAGTGGCCAGGACAAGGTGAAGAGACAATGTAGAAACCTCCCTACAGGTCAACTTCCCATAAAAATCAAATCGGAAGGCCAACCCACAGACACAGAAAGGATACAACGGAATATTATTCAGCAGCAAAAAAAAGTACTGATATGTGCTACTAAATGGAGGAATCATAAAAACATTATGCTAAGTGAAAAAAGCCAGTCACAAAAGACCACATATTTTATGATTTCATTTATATAAAACGTCCATAGAGATAGAAAGTAGAATACTGGTTGCCTAGGGCTGGGGGGAGGGAAAATCAGGAATGGTACTAAATGAATGTGGAATTTCTTTCTTTCTTTCTTTTTGAGTTGGAGTCTCACTTGGTCGCCCAGGCTGGAGTACAGTAGCATGCTCACGGTCACCACAGCCTTGACCTGCTGGGCTCTGGTGATCCTTACACTTCAGCCTTCCAAGTAACGAGAACTATAGGCACACACTACCATGCCTGGCTAATTTTTTTTATTTACTGTAGAGATGAAGTCTCGCCAAACTGCCCAGGCTGTTCTCGAACCTGTGGGCTCAGGCAATCCCACACACCTCGGCCTCCCGAAGTGCTGGGATTACAGGCTTGAGCCACCGTGCATGGCCAAACATGGATTTTTTTTGGGGGTGACAAAAATGTTCACAAATTTATTGTGCTGATGGTTGCCAAACACTCTGCTTCATATATTAAAAACCATCAAATACATGGCCAATGAAATACATTTATTCCTGTCACTGTTAATAAAAACATTTTATTCCATATTTCATCGTAAGATTTCAACTCAAACTACTCCAAAAACAACTGGAATAACTATTCCTGAAGGACACTTATCTATTTCAAAGGGTTTTTTAAAGGATGATCAGATGAAAGGGTATATGTGGAGGAGGCTGGGGTTTAGGTACAGGCCCTGAGGTAAGGGTGCTACTGTATATAAAGCACTAAAATTATCATGCTATATTTTGCTTTTCTCATCAGCCTATGTTTTAGGCAATATCATTATAATCTACCAGCAAATTGTAAGAATTTATTTATGTATGAAACTCTTTTTTAAAATCTGTAAATAGAATTTAGAGCTGGACACAGTAGCCCACACTCATAATCCAATTCCTGAACAAAAACTGAAACCCACAGGCCATAAGAGATAAGATAGACAAGTTGGACCTCATTAAACTGACAAGCTTCTGCAAAGCCAAAGAAACCATCAAGAGAGCAGGGAGACAGCCTACAGACTGGGAAAAAGTATTTGCCAACTCCAGGTCCAACAAAGGCTTAACATCTTGTATCTACAAGGAACTCAAACGTGCTGAAAAGAAAAAAAACAAACAACCCCATTATAAAGTGGGCAAAAGATATGAACAGTCACTTCTCAAAGGAAGACATTCAAGCAGCCAACAGACACATGAAGGAATGTTCGACCTCACTAATCATCAAGGAGATGCAAATCAAAACCACACTGAGATACCACCTAACTCCAGTCAGAATGGCAATTATCAGTAACTCAAAAAATAACAGTTGCTGGAGAGGATGTGGTGAAAAGGGAACACTTATACACTGTTGGTGGGAGTGCAAACTAGTGCAACCTCTGTGGAAAACAGTGTGGCGATTTCTAAAAGCTCTAAATATCGACCTCCCATATAACCCCGCTATCCCCCTACTGGGAATATACCCTAAAGAACTCAAATCACTCTATGAAAAAGATACCTGCACAGGTATGTTTATCGCAACATTGTTCACAATAGCAAGAACCTGGAATCAACCATGCTGTCCATCAAACGAGGACTGGATTAAAAAAATGTGGTACATATACACGATGGAATACTACACAGCCATAAAAAAGAAACCCCTTATCAACAAGGGTGCCTGAACGAAACATATTTGTATACCTAACCCTTAACTGTACCCCACAATACCAAAATAAAAAATATTGATTAATTTTAAAAAATACTATTAGAAAAGTCATTAAAAAAATAAAATGAAATAAAACCTGTAAATAGAATTTAGAGCCAGACACAGAGGCTCACACCGTAATCCTAGCACTTTGGGAGCTGGAGGTAAGAGGCTTGCCTGAGCTCAGGGGTTTGAGACCAGCCTGGGCAACTTGGCGAGACCTTGTCTCTACAATAAATCAAAAAACTAGTCAAGTGTGGTAGCACACACCTGTAGTCCCAGCTACTCGGGAGGCTGACGTGGAAAGATCGCCTGAGCCCAGCATGTCGAGACTGTGGTAGCTGTAAGCATGCCACTGCACTATAGCCTGGGTGACAGAATAAGATGCCAACTCAAAAAAAAAAAAAATAGAATTTAGTTAAGTAAACTCCCACTGTTCAAAAATTTGATTCAGATCACATCTGGTAATTCTTTAAAATCTATTACTATGGTGGCTCAGACCTATAATTCCAGCACTTTGGGAGGCTGAGTCAGGTAGATTGCTTGAGCCCAGAAATCTGAGACCAGCCTAGGCAAACCTCATAGTGAAACCTCATCTCTACCAAAAAAATGTAAAAATAAAAAAATTATCCAGGCACAGCAGCATGAACCTGTAGTCCCAGCTACTCAGGATATTAATGTGGAAAGGCTGTCTGAGCTCAGGAGATATGGGCTGCCATGAGCTGTGATCACTGTGATCATGCCACTGCACTCCAGCCTGGGTGACAGAGTGAGACCCCCACAAAAAAAAAAAAAAAAAAAAATATATATATATATATATATATATTTGCATATATGTACATATATACACACACACAGACATATGAAGAAATGTTCGACCTCACTAATCATCAGGGAGATGCAAATCAAAACCACACTGAGATACCACCTAACTCCAGTCAGAATGGCAATTATCAATAACTCAAAAAATAACAGTTGCTGGAGAGGGTGTGGTGAAAAGGGAACACTTATACACTGTTGGCATATGTATATATAAAACTATGATTTAAATTATTTGAACTACATAAGATTAGGGTTTAGGATTACCAAGCATACCAATAACTGATTCTTTCACAAAAATGAAATCTTAGAGTATCTACCCATTTAATTTTCCTTAGTGGTTTAACATTGACTCTATAACTAAATAAAACTAGTTCAAAGGCACATTAAATATTCAAGGCACATTAAATATTCAAGGAAAACAGACGCATTCTGTGTTTGTAAGCTTATAATAACACAAACTCACATGCATTGCATGCAAAGCCAGGTGCAGAGCTGTGCTGATCAGCAAAGTGTTTGCACCTGCAGCGAACAGGCTGGGTGCCATTCAGAGGGACATAAAGGTAGGCCCTGCACTGGCAGCCAGTCACGCGGCAAGGCAGATTGATGGGGCGCTGCTGAGGAATCGCCTCAAAGTCAGTTTTATGTTGTTTATACCTAAAAAAAAGAAAGGCATATAAACACCATGGAGGTACTGCCAAAAATTACAATTTCTGTTCTGTTAATACAATTATTTGCTGTCATTGTCCATGTAAAGTGAAAACAAACTGCAACATGCAGTATTTCTGTCACCTGTGTTGCTCTGGTCAGAGGAACTCTTCACTCTTTTAGATTTTTATTTTTAGCTATTTAAGTTATTTCACAGAAATGCAAGTGTATCATATAATTTCCTGAAAATATTTACCTCTACAGATTCTTTTTTTTTTTTTGAGTTGTAGTCTCACTCTGTCACCCAAGCTGGAGTGCAGTGGCATGCTCACAGATACCCCAGCATCGATCTGCTGGGCTCAGGCAATCCTTCCACCTCAACCTTCCAAGTAGCCAGAACTACAGGCACACGCTATCACGCCTGGCTAATTTTTTGATACATTATAGAGATGAGGTCTCACCAAGTTGCCCAGGCTGTTCTCGAACCCGTGGGCTCAGGCAATTCCCTCACCTCAGCCTCCCGAAGTGCTGGAATTACAGGCTTCAGCCACTGCGCCTGGCCTACAGATTCTTTAATATAGAGGTGCAACCTAAGAGTATGAAAAAAGTTCTTTACAAAAATATTTTTATCAAAGAACATTACTTAAATTTATTTTCATAGGTTTGCTATTTACAATGGGAAAAGTTCAATAAACACATATTAGGCCAAGCATAATGGCTTATACTTGTAATCCCAGCGCTTTGGGAGGCCAAGGTGGGAGGATGGCTTGAGCCCAGGAGTTTGAGACAAACCTAGGCAACATAGCAAGACCTCGTCTCTGCAAAAAATAAAAAAACTAGCCAGGTGTGGTGGCGTGCACCTGTAATTCCAGCTACTCATGAGGTTGAGGTAGAAGGATTGCCTGAATCTCGAAGGTCAAAGCTGTGGTGAGCAGTGATATTGTCACTGCACTCCAGCCTGGGCAACAGAGTGAGACCCTGATTCAAAGAAGAGAAAAACACACACATACATTAGTGTGATTTGTCTTAGTATAATTTTTTTTCACTTTTAACTTCAAGTTAAAAGTTAAAAGCCAGGTGCAGTGACTCACGCCTGTAATCCCAGCACTTTGGGAGGTTAAGGTGGAAGGATCGCTTGAGCTCAGGACCAGCCTGGGCAAATAGGCGAGACCACCCTGGGCAAATAGGCGCAACCTCGTCTCTACAAAAAATAAAAAAATTAGCTGAACATGTTGGCACGTGCCTATCATCTCAGCTACTTGGAAGGTTGAGGCAGAAGGATCATTTGAGCCCAGCAAGTAGAAGCTGCAGTAGCCGTGAGCATGCCACCACACTCCAGCCTGGGCAACACAGTGAGACTCCAACTCAAAAATAAAATAAAACAAAAGTTAAAAGTCAAATTACCAATATTTTTGAAAGCCAAACTTCTTTCTTAAAGCACTTTAATTTTTTAAAATAGGCTATGTACTTTTTCTCATAACATGATATTCAGTAATTTAATAATATTAAATTTGTTATTCTCAACATTAATCAAAGAAGTGTAAGTTAAAATGAGATATCATTTTTCACTTAGCAAAAAAAGTCAAAGTTTTTAAAAAACAATACATAACTCACAATGCTGTCAAATGTTAGAAAATAATCAATTTCATTTAATAATATTCCAGGAAACTTTAAAAGGTCAATTCTTTAACCCAGTAAGTTTATTTTTGGAAAATATACCCTAAGAAAATAATTCCATGTATAGAAAAAGTTTTATACATAATAATAATATTAGCAACAGTACTTACAACAACACTGAACACACATACAAAGGAAAAAGGTAAATTTCTAAATAACAGTTTTCAAACATTTTAGCAGTGAGACCCATTCTACAAATACAAATCTTTTTTTTTTTTTTTTGAGTTGGAGTCTCATCTGTCACCCAGACTGGAGTGCCGTGGCCACTGCAGCCTCAACCTGCTGGGCTCCAGCAATCCTTCCGCCTCAGCCTTCCAAGTAGCTGGAACTACAGGCGCGCGTTACCACACCCAGCTCATTTTGATTTATCGTAGAGATGAGGTCTCGCCAAGTTATCCAGGCGGGTCTCGAACCCACGGGCTCAGGCAATTCACTCACCTCACCCTCCCAAAGGCGCGGGATTACAGGCTGTGCCACCGAACCTGGCTAAATACAAATATTTTACAGAACCATTATATATAAAATTGAAGCAAAACTGGTTAAAGCAAGGGGAAGAACAGAATTCGAATCTCTTCTTCCCCTGACCTCCCCTCCACCTAGCATACCTCCGAGGCACCCGGAAACACAGATAAACTCCACTGGGTTAGTTGGAATATCGGGCAGAGATTAAAAATCTTGTTTGTGATTACTACATAACAACATGGAAACATATTTCTGTGATTCTAACATGAAAATGGCTCACTTATATACACACATAATTAACAATTAACTATGTAAAGAACAAATAATGCAGATACAGTAAAAAATATTAACAGTAGCTAGCTTTGGGTGGTAAGTTTCTATTTTTCTATATACTTCTCATTTTCCGTAATAACCTTGCTTTTTTTTTTAAGTTGGGGTCTGGATGTGTTGTCCAGTCACAGCTCATTGCAGCTTCCAACTCCTGGGCTCAAGCAATCCTTCCACCTCAGCCTCCAGAGTAGCTGAGACTCTAGGTGTACACCATCACATCCAGCTAATTTTTTTTGTAGAGACAAGGTCTCACTATGTTGCCCAGGCTGATCTCAAACACCTGAGCTCAAGCAATCCTCTCACCTCAGCCTTCCAAATTGCTGGGATTACAGGTGTGAGCCACAATACCTGGCCCATGTTTCACTTTTGTAATGCTAAAAAAAAATAGTTTAAAAGATCTCACTGAGAGACCAGTACTAAATAACTTCTTTTTTTTTTTTTTATTAGGTAGAATCTCACTCTGTCGCCCATGCTGGAGTGCAATGGCCCATTCACGGTCACCCCAGCCTCGACCTGCTTGGCTCCAGCGATCCTTCTGCCTCAGCCTTCCCAGTAGCTGAGGCATGTGCTACCATGCCCAGCTAATTTTTTATTTAGTGTAGAGACAAGGTCTTGCCAAGTTGCCAGGTCTGGTCTCAAACCCGCGGGCTCAGGCAATGCACTCGCCTCGATTATAGGCTGAGCCACCGAGCCCTGCCCTAAATAACTTCTTTATCAAAGATGGGTTGAAAGTCAAGTCCATGCTGTACAAATTATACAGAGAAAAAAACTGGTACTAAATTTGCACAAAAATTATAAAGCGATCACAACTTTACTAAATCCCTCTTCAGTTCTGAAAGACATCAATAATCCCTCATCCTCCATTCCTGTTTACAGTCAACCTATACACAACATTACTCATCCTAGCAACTGCCTAACAACATTTAGTAAACTGCAACTCTGTAAATAGTAACTATACAAAGAGTCTCTCATGAAAGCCCCAGAACTGCTATAGGAATGAGGTGGTTCCCCCTCAACAGTTTCCACTGCACAGAAAGTTAAAGCTGTTGTTACATGAAAACATGAAATAGGTTCAGATATTTTTCTGGGGAGCGCCTTGGAATATTCTGAACTTTACACCTGAGAGATAGTCATAAAATTTAAAGTATGGCATACACAGCAAAATGTAAACCTTGGATACAGGCAAGTCAAGTCTAAGGCTGAGCCCCATGTATCCATCCCTTTCTTGGAATGTGACCTTTTGTAATGAGAGGCAGTGTGCTTGTGTCGTTTGTTTAAAGAAAGGTTCCTCAAGGTATAAAGCCTGATTGGTAAATTCAAGGAGAAATACTTCTATTTGTAGAAGGATAGCATGATAGGTGTGGGTCAACTCAAGCAACCATTAAAGCCGTTCTTCAGTCTGGTGACCTGGTCCCCACCTAGTCCAATGACAGGAAATGTAGGTAGACTCTACTCCCAGCTGAACTGAAGACCCCTGGCACAGCCACAGGGCACCAAATCTTTTTTACCAATGGCAAGAAAAGAGCTGCTTAAGGTAATAGACTTCATGATGAGATCTCATAGGATATGACAGAAATTTGTAAACTACAGTTTTTAAAAACTTGAGATAATTTCTACTGTAATATATAAAGGTCTATTTTAAAATAGTTCTCAATCATTACAGTGTTATTTATAGCAGAAAGATACGCACTGCTACTATTTTCTAATCTCAGCAAATTTTGCGATAACATAGCTTACCTATGTGTACAAAAACACAGTGTCTCTGGGCCCACAAGTTTACAATCCATTCCCGTGGGTGACCGCCAGCTCACAAACAACCTGTTCTGCAAGCGCAGAGGTAAAACTTTTCTCTTGTATTCTTCATATTCTTCAGGAGTAAAAAGTTTTCCCCCATCGTCCTCACCAACAATTCTATGACAAAAACAAATACTTCTCTTAAGCCTTGAGCATTTATTTTCCAGGTTTAAAAACACGAAACTCTAAGCCTGGGTGATATGTATGGTCAAAAGAAAGGCAGCTCCATAAATGAACTTCACAGCAACTTGAAAGGACTTAGAGTCTGTAATACTGACTGATCTATCACAGAAACAAAGAACTGAGTATCACATGTTCTCACTCATAAGCGGACCTTGAACAATTATCATAATACTGTAAGAAACAATTGGCAGTAGTGGGAAACTGCTGGGGGAGGGGGGCACACCTCATCAACAAGCGTACCTGCATAATTAACACTGGTATACCTAACCCTAAGTTGTACCCCGCATCCTTAAAATAAAAAAATTTTTAAAAATAAAAAAAAAGAAAGGCTGCTTCAACTTTGATTTTTTTTTTTTTAACTTAAGGTACCTAATATGAAAATTACAAAGGTAATAAGCTTTGCTTCTGATGGAGTTCAGGACAAACTACACCCAAAATAAGGCACCTTGGCCTTTGAGAAAACAGCTGGGCCTCCGCCCACCCAGTCCGCCCCGACGCCCCCGGGTGACTTGGGCCGACCACTTTTCAGGAGCGCAGCCCTTCGGGGTCAGGTTTCCCGGCGGGTCTCCCCTCTCGTTTGTGCACACACAACCTCCCGCCTCAATCCCAGGAACTCCCGCTGGCCAAAAGCTTCGGCAAGTGGAGAAAGAACAGCTGCTGCAGGTGCCGCAGCCCGAGACGGGCCCGGGGCAAGGAATCCCGTCCCGAGCCAAAGAAGGGGCCGCGTTTCGGGAGGAGGGTTTCCCCTGAATCCCCGAGACTGCCCTGGTGGGCGTGCTTCCTCTAAAGCCAGCATCTCGGGGAGCCAAAGGCGCTGCGAAGCTCACGGTTCACCCATTATTCTGACGTCTACCGACGTGGACAGCCCGAGGATTCCCTATTTCTTCAATGGCCAATTAAAAAGGCACATGGCCCTCTGCACAAATCTAGAGTGAATACTGTTGCTTTGGAAGGAAACGGAGGGACCTCTTTTTCTTCTTTTGTTTCCTTTGTTTTTCTTTCTTTTTTAGAGACAGGGTCTTGCTCTGTCGCCCAGGCTGGAGTGCCCTGGCCCCGATCATGGCTCACAGCAGCCTCAAATTCCCGGGTTCCAGCGAGCCTCCCGCCTCAGTCTCCTAGGAGCTGAGACTGCAGGTGTGCACCACCACACCCGGCCAACTTAAAATATAAAGAATTATATCACATTATAAATAATATAATACAATATGATATTATAATAAATATATATGTCTTCTTTTTTGTTTTGTTTGGTAGAGACGAGTGTCTCACTATATTGCCCAGGCTGTTCTCGAACTTCTGGGCTCAAAAGATCCTCCCGCCTCGGCCTCCCAAGGTGCCGGGATTAGAGGTGTGAGCCACCGCGCCTCTTAAATGGCCTGGGAAGTCTCGTTACTGAATAAAACCGCCTTTGTACAGAAAGGCGAAACCTGAAATTCATCTTGGCCGTCCCCAACAGCCCGGGAAGATTCCGGGAGGCCCAGCGGACGCCCGCCAGGCCCC